CGCCTGGCCCCTCGCCAGCCCCGCCTGGCCTTTGCGCTGGAGGCTGTTGCTCTGAACACTTCAGCCTTCAATTTCCCGTCATAAATCAGTTTGCTGTTCTGGAAACTTGTAAAATGGTGCATCATTTTACCGAAATCCATGCCAGCAACCGTTTGCTGGGAGAGTGACGACCGAATTTTATACTGCTGCTGTCACGGGGTCCTTATTTTACCAGGTAGTATTTGGAAAATACCCCAGGAATGATGTTTATGGCATCTGGGGATGGAGAATAAGCAGTTTGTTGAAACCCCTCTGCCTTTTTTCCCCTGTCACTTTGGGCAAACATCTGCTCTCCTTCCCTCCATGCCCCCAGCCCTTTGTCCTCCCATCCCAGAGTCATCTGCACCCCACTGCATATGTATATGCACGTATATATGGGGCCCTGAAGCTGCAAGGCATGGTGCTCCACACGCACGCCAGTGAAAATGCTGTTATTTGCACTTTACTTTGTTGCAATCATCCACATAAGCCTGCTTGGGTTAATAGCAACATGCTCTGCTTGGCTTTGCAGGATCAAGCTCTTGGCTGGACGTTGCTGAGGCTGGATGTTGATGAAGCTGGACGGGAGAAGCTCAGCCAGGTGGACAAAGCTTGAGGATGTATTTCTAACACGTGTCCTCTTTTTTTTCTGCAGCCCGAGGCAGCCTGCAGCCATGGTTGCAGGGTATCATCGCGGTGCTTGTGTTTCTAGTCCTGGTGGCCATCGCTTTCGTGGTCAATAGGTTCTGGTGTAAGGAGGAAGAGTAAGTGTGTGTGCCCTGGGGGTTATTTCGGGTTGGGCTTAGCTGCCTCTGCACAGGTCACCTCCAGCCGTCTCCATCCCTGTGCCAGGGCTGGGAACAGTGATCGCAGCCGGGCGGGGAGGGCAAAGACTCCTTGTCCCCGTCTCCCTGTCCTCGTTGTCCTGGTCTCCTCTCCCTGTTACTTATTGCCAGGTGTGAGTGCACATCATCCATCCCCACTACTCCCAGCGCAGGAGCACCCCCAGACAGAGCACTCTGATGCTGCTGCAAGAAAGACGTGAGAGCCGCAGCATCGTGGCTGGTTTACATGGGCATGCGGCTTGGGGAGCCTGGTTTTCTATGGATTTGGGGGTGCAGTTCCCAAGTGCCTTATATCTGTGAGAAAACAAGTCCAAAACAATTTCATTTGCAAAGCAGACTGGGCCAAGTTGGGAATTGCAGTAACTGGATCTTGAATCTGAGCCCAAAGTCAACAGGAGATGAAGACCCAAAGTGCCCTATAGCCTGGGTCCTGGTTCCTCTGCACCGGCACAGGGGCTTTGGGCTTTGCACCCAAAGGTGCTGGAGTCTTCTTGTGCCTGCGCGTGTCTGCAGCCTTCTCCAGGCGAGAAGATGAGGACTTGGGGTGTACCTCAATGCTCAGCAAGTCTACTTCTGCCTCAGATGCATGTAAAGGGGGCACTTTGGGATGCGTTCAGGGCCAATGCATAATGCAAAATATATACGTATTTTTATATGGTCTGGTTTGCAATGCTGTCTTTGTTTCCCAAAGAAGAACCTTTGTCCTCAAACTAGAGGAGCCACCAGCCCATGGAGTGGGAGGCAGGGACGGTGTTTCCCACCTCTACACATGCCCGGCTGCCTCTTCCCAGCCCAGAGGCAGAGAATGCTGAGGAGGGCTTGAGAAGGGATGGCAGCTTGTTTTTAATTAAGCTGGCCTCTCTTCAGAAGAGCTGGCGGTGAGGCTTGGCAGCCTGGCGCGCTGCCAGCTCTGCGTTGTCGCTGTGACAGCAGCCGTCGGCTGCAACCGCTGCCTGTTTACGCCGCTCTGTCCCTTGGAAAAGCCTCTGCAATCGCCCTTGGGCAGGCGCTGGAGCAGGCAGGGATGGGCACGCAGGGTGGACCTGCACCCGCCCTCCACAGCTACACCCCACTGGTGCCTTTCAGCCCACAGGCTCGCTCCAGAGCTGGGATTTTAGCCTCTGGCTGCGGTCAAACATCCGGTCCCTGCCCTCTGGTTCCTTCTGCCAGTGATCTGGGCTCACATCTGAGAGAAGGAAGCAGCCAGGCTCTGGACACGCGGATGTGCAGGCGTGCACCCCTGGCAGCACCAGCCAAACCTCAGCATTTCGGTGTCAGTTGGGACCCGCAGGGGACTATTTTGCAACAGATTACATAGAAGAAGACTGGAAAAACCAGTTAGGAGGAGAAAACAATCCCACGTATTGATAAATGAGCCTTGCCGAGTGCCAGCCCCACGCTGGGAGTAGCAGCTCCAGAGACAGGAGTTGGCACTGAGTGTCCAGGAGCGGCCCCTGCAAACCTGCCCAAGGGCCCCTCTCCTCGCCCATGTCCTGCTGGGAAGGAAGTTGAGCTGGGTGTCCGAGTCCAGGATCACATATCCAGGTCCCTTATTGTTTCCGTAGTGCCGGAGCACTAGTGCCGTAGTGCCAGTCCCTTCTTCTCTGCCACCACCATTGTGAGCTGCTCCCCGCCATGGTCCCTCTGTTGCTCTGTTTCATCTCCTCTCTTCTGCCCCTCCAGGGAAAATGTCGAGGTGGTGGTGAGCGTCGAGGACAAACAGGAGACTGTCATGTCCAATGGCCATGAAGGGAGATACCGAACTGCTGCAGCTGACTTCAGGTGAAGGGCTTGCTCAGAACTCCTCCCCACGGCTCCCAGGCTCTATTCTGTCCCCACCTCAGACATGCAGAGCTGCAGTCTCTCCCACTCGGGGTCTCGCATGTCCCATGCACCTGGTTTTGGGACTTTTATCCTCTCCAGGGTCGAAGGAGAAGGTGGGGTGGGAGTATTCCCTCCTCCTCAGTCTCTCCCCATCCCTGCAGCTAAGCCCCATGGTCCATCCACCACCTTGCAACCTGCTACACCACATTTTTCTTACGCTACATCACAACTTTGAAACAGAGGAAACCACCAAAAGTGGCCATAGGTCATCAAAAAGATGATGACTGTCAAAACAGCCCTTGCTAGAAATTAGAGAAATTTCCACCCCATGCTTGGCTCTCTTCCTGGCAGAGAGACCCCTCCAGCCCTCCCCTTCTCACCCCTCGCTCAATGCACAGCTGGCACCAGCAAGGTCATGGTCCTGGTGGTGGCTTCAGGGAGGCTGGTCTTGCTAGGCGTGAGCTCAGCTCTGTGCTTCTTCCTCCTGACACAGGTCTAAAGAGAGCCAGCATGCCTACGAGAACACCCTGGAGCCCGAGGAGAGGGTGATCACCACGGCTATGTAGAAGGTGCCCTGGCCATCTATTCTCCTTCCTCCTCTCACTTTGCTTCCTGCTGTTGCAATGGGCATTTTCACAGGGACCCTCTGCACTGGCATCCTCTGTGCACAACGGCTCCCCAACCTCTCTGCGGCACCACCATCTCCTGATCTTTTCCCTCCCCACATGCGTGATGTGCTCTTCTGACTTGAGGGCTGGCATTCATGCAGACATTGGTCCCCCGGAGAGGTCTGGAGCTGCCACCTCTCCTTGTTGGTCACCCCACCTGGTTGGTGAGGTTGATGTACCCAGTCCCAGGGAGGTGCTGACCTGCTCCACACATGGAGGGGTCCGTGCTGGGTGCCTGGGACTTTCTTGCACCCCCAGCCACCCTTCAGGGAGCTGCTGATGGAAAACCCGCTCTCTTCTCCATGTTTCACCCTCCTTTTTACGACACCATGCATTCTAATTTCAGAACAAACCTTCTCCCCTGTATATATCTTCCCTGCGAGCAATAAAGAGAATTGTTGCCCATATGACAGCAAAGAGGGTCATTTTGCTCATCACCCAAAGGACTTTCTGGCATCTTGCAGCACTCCCAGTCTTCGGGTGGTTTGGGAAGGGAAGGACACTGGGGAAGGTGGTGCCGAGATGGGAAGGGTGCTTAGATGGAGGTCAGCACCCCCATCTCCCCTGTGATCCCTCCTGGGTAGAGTCCATCTTTTATTTCCTCACGGGGATGAAGCCAAGAGTGCTTTCATTTGTGTCTCTGTCAACAGGGGCGAGGAAAATGTGGAGCATTTTTTTTATTCAGCATTTGAACCATCTCAGAGCTGCAAAGGGCCGTGCGGGGAGATGAGCATTATTCCCTGCCATTTGCCAGATGGGGAAACTGAGGCACGGCACCAACCCAGCACTTCCCAGTGCTGCTTGACAGGTGAAAGGCAGCACTCCCTGAATCCTGCTGGCCAGAGGGCACAGACCCACAGCCAACTGAGGGACGTTCCCAGGGCTCCAGGGTGCAGATGGCAATCACTGGTGCTGCCTGGATGTGATTAGGGGCTGCTCCGGGCAGTGCTGGCTCTCCTCAGGGCAGCCGGCCATGGTGCAACCTGCTCCTGCCAGGCTGCTCATTAACCAGGGTCTGTTTTTTGCTGTGGTGGGGACAGCGCTGGGGCCACCGTGGGAGCAACGAGTGCTCCTAAGCTGTGACGTTTGCAGATTGAAACGAGAAACCTGTAACACCTTGGCCTTCCTGGGACAACAGTTGCCTGAGTGGTATGCAGGGTCTTCTCCTTGACCAGTGAGGAAAGGGTTAAGGGGCTCTGCAATCAAGGGCAGCCCAGGGGCTGCAGGTGGATCTGGACTGAGAGGGATGAGATGGGATGGGATAGGATGGGATGCAAAGGTTTTATAAGAGAGACATTTTTGGCAGCCCCTAGGTGTGGGGGGAGCAGGGTGGTTTGGGGGCTTTTCTGTGCTTGGGGCTGTGGAAGCACAAGGTGGAGGAGGTGGCAGGAGGACACCAGGTGCCTGAGCCACCTCTTGCTCTCGCTGTCTGCTGAGCATCGAGGCAAGGGGAAATTTTAGACCTGCTGCCAAACAGCAGCGGTGGTAGGTTTGGGTCTGAGGGGAGCCCTGGCCTTGGCTCAAGGGGGCTTTGGAGGCCTGTTGGTGGGCAGCGATGCCAGGAACAGGCAGCTGTGGTGTTGAGGCTGGAGGGACTGCTCTGCCTTTCACTAGTAGAGCTCCTGTTCTGTGTGGTTCAAACCCGAATGGGCTTCCCTGCTGCAAGGGCTGTCCCTTGCTCCTCTGTGCTGGCCGGTGACCTTAAAAGCCCTGAGCCGGTAGGAGATGCTGTCTAGCATGGTGCAGGCAGCGGGCTCACAAAATGCCCAGTTTTCCTACTGAAACCTGCGGGGATATTCCCTGAAGTGAAGCTGTGACAGTCCTGATGGAGAGCTCAGCTCAAAATGGGCCACTTCCCACCGCCGGGAGCCCTCTGGGATGGAGCCGGTGGCTGGAGCTGGACCCTGGTGCCTCCACTGTCTCACCTCCCGCAGATGAAGCTGCCGATGACCTTAGCGGGTGATGACACTAAAATTCAGGCAGGGGAGTAAGAGAGAAGCCTTCCAGTAAGAGGCCCGCCCTGAAAGGCATCTCCCCAAAGAACCTCACGTAGACAAGCATTTCAAAAACGCCCTCAAGACTTAGCCTTGAGAAATCACTTCTCCAGTTGGGAAATTGCATAGAGGTGGAAGAAAACAGGCAGAAGGGTTGGAGGGTCAAGCCCTCGGGTGCGGAGGCATGACAGCTGCTGTCTCCAGCATCAAGGCAGAGCTGTTCCCTTCCACCACCTCCCCTCGGGCAGCTGGAGGCTGATCCAGCCCCAGGCTGGGCCCTGGACCTCCCTGCTCGTGCCCCTGATGGATGCTGCTCCCTTGATTTTTCTCTCGCAGGTGCCAAACGTCACACGGGTTTGGAAAAAAACAACTCCCGGGAGCTCAGCGGTAATGCTTCACTCAGCAGGGTTTAAGGAGGATTAGTCATTGCATGTTCCCGCCGCGTCAGCACTCGGGCTGGGGGTGTGGTGAGAGGGGGGAAACCCATTAATTTTTACCTTTGGGTTGCAAAAGGAGTTGGAAACGGCATCCTTATAATGAGTAACAGCGGGAGCTTATTCCCTGCCCTGTGCACATCCCGAATATCGGATGGGTGCCCCAGCC